TATATACGTGAAAAAAATTTTAAAGAAATGTCGTACTCGGAGTCGTTATCGTCCTCGAATCTAAAGGTCTCTAATTGCTAATTATCACACTAAAAGTTTTCTTAACTTTGAAGGTTCTACAGTTGCTCTGAAGAGGATTATCCAATCACAACCTTTTTTTTGAAACAAAAGATTGTCAAGTTTTTTGCAAACGGACGTCCAATAACGTGCAAGAAATATGACCAATCTAACTGCTAAAAAAGATTATTTTCCTGACCTGTCCTGAAATTTCTCTCTTTTGTTATTGGAAAGACTATTGTGAATAGCTCGAGCAAGGTTTCCGCGAGTACTCGCACTGTAGTAGATGGCAGTATGACAATGATTAAAAAAAAATTCCAGTTTCATATGAAGGGCATCATCTTTTCATTTTTTTCTTCAAGCAGATTGCTTTCAGAAGTGGATTTTCATGGGTTATCTGGGCCAGTTAAATTCGATAGCACAGGTAACAGAGTACCTCTTCGCTACGATTTTAACAGGCTTCTCATGATAGAGGACGCTACTCAAAACCATGACATGGGTTACTGGTACAACGGAAAGCTTTTTCTTACGGAGCAAAACGACAAGCGCCCTCTTAAAATCCTTGTTAACGAGTATCCGCCGATGGTGATGTCTGAATCAAAGCTTCCTGGTGAAACGTGTCAGTCTATTTGGTCAAGAACCAAGCCGTGCAAAAAGACTATCAAAACTCCAGACGGAGATAAATCGATCGAACTTTGTTGCTACGGGTTTGTTATCGATGTAGTAGGGCTTGTCATGACTAAATTGTATGAATATAGGGCGGAACTGCATTTCACTTTGGACGGGCAATACGGGGTATTTAACCAAGAAAATAATTCTTGGGATGGAGTTGTGTCGGAGCTTCTCGAAGGAAGAGGTGACGCAAGTTTTGATTTGTACATCAGCTCTCGTAGATCTACCGTACTCGATTTTACTGAACCATATGTGCCTTCTGGCATTCGCCTTTTAGTGAAAGAAATGGAGCGACAGGACAGCGATATAGTATGGCTGTCGTATTTACGTCCTTTCACGTCTCCCGTGTGGCTAACATTGCTTGGTTCGTTAGGTGTGATGATCTTGTTTTTGTGGGGAATTGACAAGATCAGCCCTGTTAGAGGATCGACAGAACTCTTTCATAAGAAGTCTCTGTTTGGGATCGACAACGCGATTTGTTTCGCTCTCTCTCTTGCATTTGGTCGCCCTGCAGACGAATCAAAACCCACCACGGATGGTGCTCGCTTGTCATCTGTAGCATTTGGAATGGCGATGCTGGTATTCGTGTCCACGTATTCAGCTAATCTGGCTGCGTTTCTTATTGTGAATGACAAAACCACTCCAGTGAAGGATATTTACGACTTTAAGGTAAATTAAGATTTAATACCTTCGAGCAAAATGAGTCGTGTTTGGATAATCTGGAAACGGAATAGCAGTGGTAAACTAAGCCAAAGTCTTAATAGGCCATTTTCTCCATTTTTCCTTCCTCCACTTCCCTCTACAGTCAATGATGCTTCCTTGCCAACCACTTGTCAGTAGAAACATTTCACTTCTTAAAAAATGTTCGTATGTTCCCCATTTTTGAATAAGAAATATAATTTTAAAGCTTATTGGGTATTTCTCAGTTACTGTTACTATTTCAAATGTTTTCGCTGACGTCATTGTTAACTGCACAAGTGTACACTCAAAGGTCATAATGACCACCTTAAAGTTTTAACTATGGCATGTGACGTCACAATGCTTCATGAGGCCATCCTTCACTCCTTGGAAGAAATGTTCTGGCATTCATACAAGAACCTTTGAAAAACGGTAGAGATTCTTGAACAACAGTTATTTTGCATTATACCTTACCAGTCCAATTTGCCACATCATACCAGGATTCTCCTTTAATATGAACCATCAAGCCGACAAGGTTGGGAGCAATAGCCTGCGGGACAGGCGCAAAACGGGAGTAGGGAGGGAGAGGGAAAAGCCGCGAAAGAAAAGGGAAAGGGAGCTTACCCTCTCTCCCAAATCCTCCCATTCCCCTTCCCCTTTCCACACCTGCCATGGTTAAGCCAGACCAACACTTGGTAGCTTATTTGGGAGCTTAAGCAACGACGACGGCGACCGCAACGAGGACGGGAAAAAAGCAATAGGTTTAGATTGGAAAAACAACAACTTTGCACGTGCACCACGCTTTTTTGCACATTTCTTTGCTGTCGCTGCACGACTACAAAGTGAAAGTGCCTAATTTTAAGTTTTGTCGAGGACGTGAACACAAGAGAACTACTTTCATTTTCTTTTCCTGAACTTTGATACAGTATTTTAGAATTTCATTACAAAAAAAATTGCCAAACATTGGAGGAATTAAACGAGATGGAATAAGTGCGATAAAGTTTGATGCAACGCGAATTCACTTTTTAAGTGACGTTTTGGTAGCCGTCGCCGTCGTTGTTGCTTAAGTTCCCTATTTACCGAAATAGGTAGTCCCCTATAGCTTCTTCAATCCCGTCATCCTGACCCAAATTTTCCCTTAATCCCGTCATCCCGATGGTTTTTTCCGACATCCCGCTTTCCGTGCATACTTTCAATCCCGTATCTCGCTTCCCGTGCATACTTTCTATCCCGCATCCCGCATCCCATGCATACTTTACAAAAGAATCGGTGCCCAAATTTGGAACTCTTTTCCTTATTCGATTAAAATACTTAAACGTTCATCCTTTCGTAAAAAAATAAAGGAATTATTACTAAATTTCTTGCCTCCAAAGATGATTTTGTCGAAGTCTCCCGTCTTATTAAGTTATTTAATACTTTGTATAGTAGTGTCTTCACTGTTATTTAGTCCATCTATATATAAATCTTGTTTTGTAATATGTCTTCAGCTCCCCCCGCCTCGATTAGTTTATAAACTATTTGCGGGTGGGAAAATAATGTAATTAGTTATTTTCCAATTTTCAATACAATTTGTTGTTGCTGTTGTTGTTGTTGTTGTTACTTTAAATCCCGAATCCCGCCCTGTTATGATTTAAAATCCCGAATCCCAGCCTTCAAATAAAGTAAATCCTGCATACCAAAAACTCTATTGGGGGCAACCTCGAAACAGACTGAAATAGCGAAACATGCAACGTCACACTTTTCTTCTCCATTTGGCGTGGGATAAAAAATGTTTTCTTTTGTTGGAAAGTAATTTTTTGGCGAAAGGTTTGAACCCAGGAGTGATTTTAAAAAAGCGGGTTGGTTATGATCGTGCGGGTGAATGTAGTCCCGAATAGGACTGTTGTTGTTGACAAAGACAGACGTTTCGACAACCTGTGCGGTAGTCATCTTCAGAGTCAAATTGGTTGTATCATGTCAGTTTATAGTATTAAACTCTGGTAATTGACGGATTAGTCAATTAAGCGGCGATGTTATTGGTCGTCTGTCTTTTTAGCCGTGATGTTATTGGCTATGAAGACTCGTAATGTCATTGATGCGTTTAATTTCGATCCTTCTATTGTCACAGCTAAACGATCGTTTATCATTAGTCACATTGTCAGTTTTCCGGCCGTTCTCTCGTTAACAAGTCGTTTGTACGGTGCGGGTAACTGTTGACTCCGATTCAGTGGATTTTGTTCTAAGTTAATAAACGAGCTTTCTAAAGTGAGTCGTTGATAATAGTCTGTAAATAAATAAATAAATAATGATTTAGAGGTAGAACATCCACAAAGCGGTTCTTCGTCTACCTGATCCCTGGTCGAATTGGAATCTGGAAATGTTGGTTTTTGAGGAGAGGGGAAAACCGGAGTACCCGGAGAAAAACCTCTTGGAGCAAAGGAGAGAATCAACAACAAACTCAACCCAAATATGGCGTCCACACGGGGATTTGAACCCGGGCCACATTGGTGGGAGGCGAGCGCTCTCACCACTGCGCCATCCCTTGCTCCCGAGTCTGTGCATTACGTGATACATATCGCACAGTCCCAATCGATTTGCAATGGTTGTCGAAACGTCAGTCACTGTCAGCAACAACAGTCATATTTAGGACTACGTTCACCCGGACGATTATTCTCAACCTACTGAAGTAATTTTTTTGTTTGACAGATTGAGCGTCCTCCAGAGGGCTTCAAGTATGGTACCATTAAGGGTTCCTACATGGCAGATTACTTCAAGAATAGTAATAACACGTATTTCCGGCAAATCTGGCGCCACATGCAAAACAACAATGTTAAGAAACTTGTAGACGGGGTGAATGCTGTTTCAAACGGGTAACTTAAATTTTATACTTTTAAAATCTTTTTTTTACTGTTATCATAATTCAAATTTGCTTATCAACATAAAATTTGGATGCGTTTGACAGATATCTCTAATTGAGAGCTCATCTGTCCAACAAATCGATCAGAATGCTAATGAAAAAAACGAAGTCATAAAAATATGGTGATAAAAAAGGAAGAAGGAGACAAGACCAAGAGCCACAGGTCTGGCTCATTCCATGCTTGGTGGTTGGGCCTTACCTTTAACCCCCGACATCCAAGTCAGGCAAAAAATAATCAAATCTGGCAAAAAATAATCAAATCTGGCAAAATATCATCAAGAGACGGGTACAGTTAAATTGAAGATTTATAACTTTACAGCTGTTTCTATTTTTGTATTTACATAGGAAACTTGATGTATTTATTGCCGATGATGTTAGTCTGGAATATAAATCTATGAGTAAATGCGGGCTCAAAGTTGTTGGAGAGCCATTCGCAATGTCGGGGACATCGATTGCGGTCAAGAAAGGGAATCCATTGTTTCAACAACTCAACGAGGCTCTTCAAACGGTAAGAGCCGAGGGACTAACGGACTTCATTCAGACGTTTTGGGTCAAAAAATATGGATCCTGCACAAGAGAAACTCCTCCAACTCAGCTGAAATTGGAGGATCTCAGTGGGCTGTTTCTACAGTTGACTATAGCCATTGTTGGCTGTATACTGGGGACCATATTTCATAGAACGTTCTATTATTTTCGAAAGAGATGGTTCTACGAGGCAGATGATCTAGACGATCCGTCGCGATTCTCTCAACTAGAGACCCTCGTATGATAGAAAAAAGGTTTCATAGTCGAGTAAAACTGGTCCTTTGCAGTTGATCAGCGAATTGAAAATATGTATGGGCTATCATGAAAATGCGCAGTCGGGCTTGGAAAAAACCAGATTGCTTCATCTTTCAATTCGGCGTCTCCGCTTGCTTTAAGGTCCTCCTTCGACCTCCTAGTTCATTGTCCTCCAGACCAGCGGCTTGACCGACCAACTGCAAAGCCGCATTTTAGAAATATTATCTCAGTCTGTCTAAAAAGTTGTGGTCGATTGAAAATTTCGGAAAACAGTCAGTTTTCGAAATTCTACTGAAGCCATCTACCAGGCAGTAATTTCACTTGTAATGTGAAATTACGAATAACTGTGCCATGTGGGTCATAGAATTCAGAGGTTTAACCTGCCTTTTAGGGCGCTTTCCGTTTGTAAGAACTGGCGGGCTACACCATTGCCGTTCTATTGCCGGACCAGTCATTTTATCTGGGAAATCGGCTTTTTCCAAGGCTTTTTGCTGAAAACCATCTCCTTCCCGCACTCTATTTAGGATTTCACTGATCTGGCTGGATAGTTTTGATTAATAGTGAAATTCTCATTACGACGGGAAGGGTCTGGCCGGTCAGTTCTGACAAATGGAAAACGCCCTTGGTGTCTCAGTGCAAATAATTGGACAGTGCGCTGTAAAGAGTATTATACGCAAATAGATAATTCCGAAATAACAGAGTTATAATGGAATAAAAATTATTTCATTTATTTGAGTGTTAATTTTATGTTATGATTTTTTACGTAATTAACAGTTGAGCGGGAAGAAATGCAAAAGTCAACAGATCATGACGTACTCTCAGTGATCAATCAATAAACCCTAAATTTAGCGATCAGAGAGCAAAAAAAGGTTTCGAAGCCACATTTTATCCCTTTTCCTCAATTATCCCTTTTTCAAATGATTCATTTTCGTTCATTGTTCGTGCATTACTTCGATGAAAGAGGGTCTAATGACGGAAAATAGACGAATAAGGGAGATTTTTTAAAAGTGTCTTAGTGTGGAAGGCACCAATACCAGATAATTAAGAAAATGGCAAAAACCTGGGGAAAAAAAGTGAGCCCCCGTCCACGTGAAAAAGTCAAAAGAGATTTCTGTTTTCAGATGTTGACGATTTTGTGTCACTTTTCAAACATTGTGAAGGGACACTGCGAGTGTTCAGTCTCCTGCGTTATATCGATTGCTCAAGGGATTTATACGAGGTTAGGTTAAAAGCGAGACTAAAATAAAAACGATTGCGCCTATTATTGGAATTCGTATTTCAAAAGCAGTCCACGTCAACAATTACGACGTTTTCTAAAAATTAAATTAGCTGGCATGGGTGATACGATTCGTCGAAATAATAAGCACAAATTTAAGCGTTATTCAGTTTATTTCTTTGTTACGGTATGGGCAAATCGGATCACGTGTTGGTCGAAGCGGCGGAGGAATATAGTGAATATTGTGTTTTTTCTACATTGTTCGACATGCTGCGGTTTATTCGATACTGTTCGATTGTACAGCATAACAAATATACATACCCAGAGAAAAATTAAAGGAGAAAGTGGGTGTTTCGGAACATACTCGCGGGCGTTTTTTACAAGCATTAAATTATATTACGTTATATTCAATGTAAAAAAAGTCATTGTTCAGGAAATCATTTTCTGAACATCATTATATTATGCGGGATTCGTTGTCATTGTGGCCCTGATAAAATGAGAGGTCGTTCAAAACTTTTTACGGTGAAACAGTTCTCTTTAATTTAAAATGAATTCCGATAAACCGAGATGAAAGTGAAACATTAAATGCTTCGAAGCTAGTTCCATGGACAACATTGCGTTTGGGCTCGACAGGTTTACCCTTTAAGTCCCGATATCCAGTTACAAATTCTTCAAACTGATCTCCACACATTTCCTTAAAGAATAGTTGAGAGAATTTGGTCTAAGATGAAAACGCTCTCTCTCTGGTAATCAATTTAGTAATTCTCATAACCTTTACACTTGACGATCTGCCGATGTTGTTAGGAGAAAGTTTGTCAGTCTTACAAAGACCGTAACCACATCTATCATACCCGCGTTATTCTGGTCAAATCCTTAAGTTAACTCAATAACGTATTATGTATAAATTCCGGAGGGGTTTGCACCGTACAGTCGCCTATAAGAAGGTATCGGTTCCTATGGTTTTCTAATAAACATAATGGCGGTAAAGATTTAACCATGTTGGTCTGACGTAGTCATGAGTTTAAGAAAACTTTGAAGGCCTTTAAACGTTTTTCTACTGATCAAAAGAACAACAAAAACGGGCTTGACTTATTACCAAAAGCGAATATGTACAAGATTAAATGAATTAAGGCATTCATAATAACCCAGATTAACCTACGGGCAGGTGAATTCCTGGTACATTTCTTTAAAAGAGTCCGTAAAAGTCTACAAGACTGGCAGATGCAACCCCACCTTAAACCCCACAGTGTACCCCCAGGACTTGAATAAAACTCTGTTATTACACACTGGGCAATCCATTTATATTGGCAGTCAGCGTGGATTCAGAACTCACATGCGGCATACGGATGCATGTAGTCAAGCGCTTTTTCGTAATAGCAGGATATCAAACGTGTCACAGGTTAGAGTTGAGAGCCCTCTTCTTCCAGCTTCTGTGCATAAAAGGCTGCTGCTCATCCCTATTGCAGTCGAGAAGTCACTTTCTACAGCCGTTTTCACAACTGCAACACGTTATTGAATCGTATACTACCTGAAGATGAAAGTTACGCTGGTGTTTGCTTTGGTGAGCTTTTTCCTTGGCTGTCCTTTACAGGCCACGATGTTCGAAGACCCAATTCAGGATAAAGCGGAAGAGAAGTTGGTTCGGGAGATGGTTTCTACAGATCAAAATTTTGAAGAAGGACTATAAGACATGAATGACAACAATGTCGACGATGATGAGGACGGCCATTACGAAGGTGAGCAAGACGATGATGATCAGCCGGATAATGACAGGTTGGAAAAAAAATTTCTTCTAGAAAATATGGAGTAACCTTTTGGAGAAATATTTACCTATATTTATACAGGATTAGCCCCTTAGCAGGACTGGTAACAAAGGCGGGCATGATAAACTAAAATTAAATACATCAGAATATAACCAAATATGAAAAGGCAGATAATTGAAAAATGTGACTGAAATAGTAACGTTGCAAGTTGTCGGGAGTAACTAATAGTCGTGGGTCGTGGGCCGTGGGTCGTGTGTGAAAAGTCGTGGGCGTTGGCGCAAAGCCGGTTGTCTCCCTAGTTCCGTGAGGTTTTGAGGGACAATCCTTTCTAGTGAGCAAAATTAAAAAAATGACAAGTTGCGATAATTGACAACAATGCAGCGCCCCCAGTTCTACACCAAAAGTCCAATTCTGAAACGATGAAAACGATATTAACAACAGTGACATTTATTATCCGAAAGTAACGCCTACTTCGAAAATTACCACTCAACTACACTTATTAAGAATCGAATTAAATCCAGTGATGTAACGTTTGAAGAAGTACCCTCGATGTACGTAAAAAGCGATTTTAAAGAGTGTTTAACGTAACGTGTAACAGGAACAAGAAAAATTTACCTTTTTTGTGATTTTTAGTGAAAGTCAACTATCAGCCTGTACCAATCATAATTATAACGGATCAATTTAATAAGAACGTGTGAAAACAACGTCAAGAGTCATTTGTGATTCTATCTCGAGACTTGTCTGAATCCTTCTTTAAATTATGTCGATTTAAAAATGAATTTCACAAAAAAACTTCAGTAGAGTAGCTCAATGACTGCACATAAGATCATTAAACGTAACCAATATGTAGCTGCGGGAAAAATAGCCACAAATACGTTAGATTTTTTCCAAATATGAATTTGTAGATTTAAGTAAGTGATAAGTAAGGGATTCATTTCGTTATCCCGTTCATAGAGTTATTTTAATTAACCGTGAAATAGATAGTGAACTATATACTACCGCATTGTATGACACTCCGATTTTTTTTTTACTTTGTTTACTAGCTTGCTTTTCATTAATTCAACATTTTCCCGCACGAGCCCCCTTTACTACCTCTGCACCCACCAAACTTAGGGGAACAAAAGTATTCGGTGATCCCCTTTCGTTGACTTATCTGATACTAATCAAACAAGAATAAAGCAAAAGGTGTAGTTTATATCTCAAAATCTAACTCTAGTCCAGTGCATTTCAGTTTTGCCAATACTTGCTCTTCAAATTTCTCACTCAGCTCTGGTGTGAAGTAATTCTTCCAATCCCCAACCAAGCCCTTCCGTAGCAGAGGTGAGTTAATTTGTTCTGGGTGGAATGTGTAACTTGTAATATTTTTCTTCATCCCACTGAGAGTGCACTGGTCGGCAATGCGATTGATGAGTTCATCTGATAAGGGCTTGTGTAAAAAATCAGCAATCATTCGAACATGAGAGGGTAAATCCTAGAAGAAGTTATTGCACTGTTTTAGATTTTAATTTTTAGACCATGTAGAACACAGCCAGCATAATAAGGAGTTTTTCTACTAATATGATAAAGCATATATGGTGGTGCAACATCTCAATCGTCTTTATTTTTAAAACGGTTATTTGTGGCCTTAGAAATAAGCTTTCCATGTGTTCAGGCCAATTATAATTGCCTTGCTTTACATTTTCTAGAATGTGTGGAATTGCTTAGGAAATATCTAGACATTTTCTAGAATGTGTGGAATTACTTACGAAAGGTCTAGAATTGTTTAGAATGTGTGGAATTACTTAATAGGAAAGGTCAAATTTTGACAACTTGGCAGCACATATGTCCAACCGATGTCAAATAGTGCCTTGAGCTAAAAAGCCGTCTGAACTCCTCTGGTACATAAAATTACCTTGTGCAAGTCTTCATACTTCAAAAACAAGACATTAGGGTCATCTTTATGGTTCCACCAGTCAAGAACATGGTCATTCCAAAGGTCCCACCCAACTAAATTGAAACATCAAAACACAAACTTTGGCCCCGTTTACACTAATGCGTTTTCAAACTATGCGTTTTCGTTGCGATCGAAAAAATCGATCGATTCGCGCCTACTGTACATTACCGTTTTGATGCTTTTTGGACTGTTCACAGTAATATGTTCGAAAACGATAGAACTGCACTTTGTGACGTAAGTTAAACTCTACGCGCATGTTACAAACATACGCGCCTGTGATATTTTCGGTCACCGTTTTCATTTTGATGCGTTTTCGATCGTTTTCAACCGTCTACACTGATACGATATGTATGCGTTTTCGTTTTGATTACCTTTCAAGAGCCTTTTCAAGTCGATGCGTTTTCGATGTAAACGCTCCGCGTATTAGTGTGGACGGAAGGCCTTAACGCATAGAAATGTATGCGTTTTCAAAGGAAAATGCATTAGTGTGGACGAGGCCTTTGACTTTCTCTCGATACAAGCTATAATATAGAATAAACGCTTGCGGGACATATATTTTGACGAATTAAAGGTAAAATTCCCTTCCAGCCGAGGAAGTTAACAAGGAAGAGGACGTTAAATTTCAAATGAGAGAAATCAACGGAAATTACTCTAGGAAAGAGGCAACAGGATCAAATTTATTAACATTTGATGTGAAAACCATAAACCCTCAAGCCATGCAGTAGACAGCAACCCGCTATGCTAATGACATATTAAACCAATAGAAATGCCCAAGTGGTCATAACAAGTAAAGCGTACTGAATGAGGGCCCACTCTGGCCAGGGATGGTGGAGCTACAGGTGTATACAGAGAGTTCCTAGCAGGTTTTCAGGATCACGTTAAGGATTGGATTCGGGGTTTGAGAGAGACAGTTAGCAAAGTTGCATTTAGGATTATTTTTGATTAGTATTAGACTCTGGGAGACAACTGACCCATCCCCGCCTCATTGAACTCAACGCTAATAATAAGTTCTTACTTGGGCAAAATCTTGGAGTTAAGGGAGAGGTAGGAAGGCAGATTCCCAGAATCTTATACTGGTCCCTGAATTTCCGTATTCGTCGTTAAAAAAGTTAGTCTCTAATGTTCTTAAATTAGGTATAATTTCTGTGACAAAAAACAAATGCCGTCTACAGTGCGATGAAAGTTCTTTTCCTACGATATGATAGCCTACGTAGCATATGTAATCTATCCCCCGCAAGCAACGCCAGGGAAGCAGCTCTGAGATCCTTCTCATCTTTGTTCTTGACCCCATATACGGACTCAACGAATTACCAGAAGTGCATTGCGAATTTGCCGTCAACCTGATTGGCATGTCGACAATGGCTATTTTAACAGGCCAATCATGGGGCGTATTATCAAATCCTGACTCATTGCAGCCTGTTCCAGGCTCAGAGATAGTCGGGTCCGCCGAACTGAGAAAGCACGAACACGAAAACAACTTTCACTTATGCGTCATCCCTACTGTCTTAGAGCCTGGAAGAGGGTTGATTCGACGCCAGTCGTCTCTCACAACCTCTGGCACGCGGGATGTGATGATGAGAAGGAGGAAAGCGCTCTCTGCTCCCGCCGTGCGCGTTACGAGCTAAGACGACTGCAGACGAGTCAGACTCAAATTCTGGTACGAAAGGCTGGCTCGCAGCACGGGCTTAACCAGATGTTTAATTTCGTCTGTGGTACAGGTTATAACGATTTGAGTACTTACCATTTCCCTCAATAAAACACTTGGCAAAAAATTCCCACGATCCGTTGAAACCAAAGCCAAACGCTTTCAAATGCTCCGCGAAATGATAATATGACACTGCTACATCCTTCGGGTTTCGAGCAATGTAAATGTATTTAGACATAGTATCTTTATCTGCACTTCTAGGGGTAGTACTGTACGTAAGGTGGGTCTTCATAACACGTGGGCTTGGCATAGTTTTAAGATCAATTAGCTCTACAAGCTTTTCGTGGGTCGCAGTGACTTCAAGAAAAGGCACTCGCAAACCTTGCTTTTCACTGCTGATAGCTCCTTTATTGTGGATTTGCCAGACAATTTTTCATGTACCCACGTTGTTCCTGAAAATTTAAAAATCATTGTAACAAGTGATCGATGAGAGGAATAGTAGCTTACACACAATACAGAACGGGGAGTTGTCGGAACAGAATGAGCGTAGCCTTCACAGCTGCAAAATTCTCAGTCTCAGGACTTTAAAAAACACGGCCTCTGCAACTAGAATATACCTGATTAAAGAAAACGTTGTTGTTTAAAAAGTATAAACCACGAACGACGAGTTTTCACTTTTGACGGTCGACGGTAAAAATTAAACTTTATAACCTTTTTTGACGGCTGACGGTTAAATTATAGGCCTTTTGACGGCTGCCAGTTAACCCCATTAAAGGAGCTGTGTCACCAAATTCAGCCAAATTAGGAAATTACAAAATGCCCGTTAAATTAAGAGAGACATAAAAATAACCGCTTAAAACTTTAAAGGAAGGTTAACATAACCGAAACAACAGATGCCATGGATGGGCAAAAGTGAAGAAGATTGAAACGGACTGAATACGGTCTTTGAAAACTGTTCAGCCTATTAGCAGTTTTTCAGAGTTGATCCCTGCTGCTTGCAACTTCAAAAACAATGCTCAGGAGACATTTTTGTTTGTCTCGGACCTCTGATTTTGTCATTTTCTTGTAATTTATTTGCATACTTTAAGTTCCATAGCGATTGAGGGCGAGTAATCGGCAAATGAACTGGACTGCCGTGACACAGCCTCTTTAAGACCGAGTTTAATTAATCAGAAAATGTCCAAGAACACGCAAGAAACTTCTACAATTATCCGTCGATTAGTGGTGTAAAAGCTCTCCAAGGACAAAACAAACACTCTCTCTCGCTATGATTCACATAGGATCAGTATTATGATTTCAATATATCGCTTCGGTGTGGACTGAGCTCGCTATATATAACTGAAAACGTTGAAAGATGAAAGCAAAGTACTAATTTCGCAGACTTGACACTGACTAGAGAAATTATGCAGTCAGTCACAAGACAATCTTAGCGTGTGTACACAACTTGTCTGTTCTGAGCGTTCTGTCATTTCTTTTTAGCCTGCCTTTACAAAGAACTTGGCAACAAGCTGATGCAGGGTCAAATCTTCTAGAAAAGAAACGTTTCAGTGCGTTTCATCACAGGATGCAAGGTTAAAAGAAATAAAGGACAACGTAATGTGCATGGGCCAGCAAATTGTACTGAACAGTTGTCGTGACAGGAGCACCTAATTTTCTTAAAATAACTGATTTACAAAATGATGGCATCAAAAGAGGAACCAACCTGACTTAGGATAAGTCACCACGAAAATATCCTCTGGTCGAGTCTCGAACCTGGTAATATAGTCGGCTAGCCTCGCTGGATCTTTAGAGAAAAAGTGTGGAATTTTCACGCCCAAAACTTTCCACTGTTTTGGTGATGTCCATTCGCCTTCTGTCACCTGAATCGTAGGGAAACTTGCCATGCTAAATTGTGTCGTGTTTTGCTCTTTAAACAAGGCAGCGCAAATGAGACCGGTCACGCGATGCCGGCTCCCACTAGTTTGTAACGTCAAGTCGATGCTGAGGGAAATTTAAAAAACAAAAAAAAAAGACGCAGAAATTTCCGGTTACAGAAGGCGAAATTTTCTGTGTTTTCAATGGCAAATTTTAAAATCAGCCAGGCCTCAACCCTCTGGATTTTCCGAACATGGTTGAAAAGGCATTTTCACTACTTTTCAGACTTTTTAAAACAAAATAGCGAATGCTGTTAGAGATTTTCATTGCGTGACCGTCCGTAACAGATCAATTATTTTAATAATCAAGTATCTGACGTCAATCCACCGAAAAGAGTCCTTATTATCCCGGGAGGGGGGGGGGTACTCCCTTATATAAGCTATATAGGCATGTGCCGCCCCATCGGGTAGGGTTTTTGCGCCGTTTTGGCCTGAAAACGGGTATACACTTTATCCATTTTTGTCTGGAATTGGGTATGGTTTCGAGGGAACCGTCCGGGAGTGTATGAACGTATTTATTGTTTCAATTCCAAATGAGTAAGAAAGAAACAGAAATATGCGAATTCGAAATGAATTTGAAGAACTTTTTTGTTTGCGCTCTAATCTAAGTAATGATAACATAATTTCTGCCTAAAGGCGAGATCTGAAAACGGATATGGATTTTAGAGGTCTGGGGCCCGTTTCTCGAAAGTCCCGATAGTTAACGGGCGCATAAAGCTGTTGTTCTTTACATGCAAGATAGAAGTTTCAATAGCTTTGCATCTAACATGATAATTTAACTATCAGTTAATGAAACATAGTAGATCAGAGTGACCCGCGCTCTTATTCTTTTTATTTCGATTTGGATATTTGATTTCAGGGCCGAAGACTTATTGGGATTTTGGAGAAACGGGCTCCTGGGCTGAAAACGAGTGTGAAAAATGACAGTTTTTGGTCTGAAATAGGGTCAGGATTTGGAGAACCGGGCGGCACAACCCCACCAAGAATACGCAGGTGTAACCCGCGGGTTATTATTAATCGTATCAAGTTATTTAAATAAAAAATACACCTTTCATCGGAACAAAATACGAAGGAATAAACAGAACATCATTATCCTTAAAATATTAAAACATCTCCATTAACACAAAATGGTTATTCCACGGAATATGTCTGTGCAGTGAAAACACTCATAAGTCGCTCATTTATACATTGTTAATTGAAAGGCAGAACTTTACATATTAACTTATTTGTTGCCCAAAATTGTTTGAAATTGCATAAAGTTTATCTTGATTTAACCGTGCACTCTTGCACCGTTAACATCCACGACCTGTCATTCCAACGACAAGGAATTGTCCGTTTGAGCGAGTTCAACATGATTGGACAAGGGAAAATGTGTCTGTTGTCCGCATTCACATTTGGTGTCCAGGTTGGAATTAGAGTAAATACGAAGACTTTCTTATAGACAAAGAAAAAAAAACCTCCTTAAGAATGAAGTTCCCACAAAGGAAGCCGTTTCTCTCTCATCGTTTCCATATCCTTTGCCTACATTTGCTTCTCATCAGTGTGAAAATTGATTATAAACTGAAGGAGTGCATAAAGGGCACTTTGACCGTAAGTTTTTTTTCGCAGCCTGGTCGGGGTATACCCCCTGGTAAATGGCTGAAATTGCGGTTAAAATTCATATCCTTTCTGTTGCACATTTTAATGGTTAACTTTATGAGCCAAAAGTTGTTGCTTTCGGTAAAAATAGAAGTTTATTACACTTCGAATTGCCCGGGGTGATTCCCAGAGGTACGCACAATTTTCCAAATTCCCTCCCCCTCCCTTCCTTAAAGTACCAAATCTCAAGGCTTGATTAAAAGTGAGACCAAGGTAAAAAGCATATACCTTGAGCTGACAATCTGCGCTCCATTGTCGCGCCTTTTCTCTAAATCAAGAGAGGATTGGTCTTAATATATCATTTCATGAATCATGTCGCTTCGCTGGAAACCGGCATTCGGTCGTGGAAAAAAGGCATACTGTTTTAGAAAAATATATTTTAAAGATAAAAGCACGGTTAGATGAATTGAGACAAACTTTGCTTTTTAAAAGGTAATACTTTATCCTTATTCTTCTCATTCTTCTTCTTATTATCTTTTTATTTTATTTTTTACCTTCGCCTTTTTCAGGGACGGACGTGCTTAAGTCAGAGTAAAATATTTTAGGTGACGGCAGAGAAAGATGATGCATTTCATCTTCAATTTGACAATGTCATTAGAATCACATACGGGAAAGCTTCCTTTACGCGATTACCTCTTATGATCCTTACTGCAATAGTAACGAGTAATAGGATGAGCAGCGTAAAAAGCCACTAGGCGAAGCCCGAAAAACATCACAAGGATGCAACTGGCAAGCTGTGCTGTTCAGAACTTGCCCCACCCTACCACCATTGCGTCCTATGTTGCGTCATGACTACTGTAAGCCTTACCCTTCCGCTGAGTTTACAGTGCTCTAAACTGCAAAACAGTCGGTTTTTTTTCTCAAAATCAGTAAAGAAATCGGCAAAGTGTGGCGTAAGAGTCTCACTCGCGCGAGTCTCACACGCCCTGAGAAAAGAAACCGGCTTTCCGTTTTCCATATTTTTTTCCCGTATTTTTTTTTTTTTTTTTGCAGTCTAACAGTGCTCCCATCCTCGCTCACGCAGAAAATTCAAATTTTAGCGGAGAGAAGTTATCAGAATGTCGGTCGAACTTTTCTGCTCCGTGAAAACCATTGTTTCACGTTGAACTTTTTTGTCCTTACAAGGCAAGGAACGATCAAAGATAACAATACAGAGTAATACCTATTGTTCTAGAATTTAGGACTCTTTTCTTACTACGTTCCATAATTTGGCCCACACTAGCACCAGCATTTATTCCACCCAGCAGGTGGCAGTTTTCTGTGCATTGCATTATCCGCAAAACAGATCGAATGCACTTCAGTTTTTACAACCCCCACCTGAACCGCTTCTGCCATGACGTTCTTGTCCGTTTCATAATTTTTGTTTTTTGCATTGTTTTGTTTTTATTCTTCTTCATTTTTACGCCGGTACAGTTAGCTGTCGCCCCCATGGAGCTACTGACTCCTGCTGCTAAAGACTTCCATTAGAGTAGCTGCTAATTGTAAACATTTTCTTTGTTGCGGTACATTAGACTTAAAAACAGAGAATATACATTGTTTTCAATCGCGTTGTTTTCAAAGTTCAGGCTAATGATCTATTGTCATTTTTCGAGCTTTTAACTAGTTTTATGTTTATGACGGTTTGTTATTTTTCTAAGCGATCTATATCCTTCAATATGCCTCAAATTTGAAATTATTTTCTGCGTAATATCATGATATGGTTTTATAAAGTAGGAAACAAGCCGGCGAAGTCAACTAACTAATGGGCCTCCTTACAAAACCGCAAAGTTGCACTATATAGGGCTAATTAAAATAGGCGAACACATCATCTGATATTCATTAAATGGACTGCTTATGAAACTGGTACACTGCCAAAATTACGTGGTTATATACCGACAGTTTACTGTTGAAAGTGCCATATTGTCCTCGGTCTCTACGAATGAAACTAATGTTAGAGGAAAAAAATATGCTTCATAATGGTGATTCGAATAAATTATTGATTAAACGTCTGTTTGTGTGCTTTGGGAATATTACTTACTTATTTATAGTATGTGTCAAGATCATGTCAGAGTTTAGCTTGAAATTTATTTTTATGTTTTTCGCCTTATACATCAGTATATTTGGGGAGCGTTAACTGAACATCATTTGCAAGCACCAAAAATGCGAGTAGGTTCGTTTTTTAGTTATACATAATATTTGTAAACAAGATTGGATGCTGAAAAAATAAACGAAAATAAAAAAAAAGGGACAATAATTGAACACTAAACTGAAGGAGTAATATTTTGGCTCGTCAAGTGTCTATGTTAAATTGTATGAGTAGAGCTGAAATCTTCAAGTCGGCTGTGCTAAAAAAAACGACGTTTCTAAAAAATTGAGTGTTAATGGCGTACAATGGGTCAAAATATCGACGTTTCCATCCATATAGCGTTCTCAATGTTATCAACTATCACTACTTGCATTGTAGTGGATTTATTATTTCTTAATTAATACCAACATCTTCCAATGATTCGTAATGTGTGATATTCGTGTATTTTTTTACGGAATTAATTGATAATAATTTAAGTTTATCTTGGCTTATTTGCCTTTCAAATGAGTTTTTAAGGTTTTGCTAATAAAAAATACAGACATGCAACCGTCGGGTTAAATGTGCCTACCAGAGCTTTGTTCTCAAAATTGCTTTGCAGGATGGATACAAAACTAATTTCGTTTGCTAAAAGCTTTTACAGGGTACTGCTCAGTACACGTTTTAAATAGGAGGTGAATTTATAACTAGGCAACATCCGGTAAGAGAAGAATTGTAATTAACTCTCTTCTGCGAACGTAGTTATTATCACTATACCATAACGCGCCAGAGCACTGACAGCTGCCTATTTTGTTTTATCTTAATCGCTTGTATGATGACATTCTAGGGGTTTTGAACATAAAATAGCTATAACCATATTCGTTGCCTCGTAAGGATTTCTTTTCTCATATGTTATCCCTATTATATCATTATTGATATCTCAAGAAAATAATCAACGAGAATTTCTTAAATGTGATGAAACAAGGCTGACAAATGATCAGACACTCTGCGACAATGGAAAATTAAATGATTTTGAGGAACTTGTTAAGCCGATCAATAAATTGGCCGTTTATTTTAACGACGAAGCGTAAAACATTCAACGCATTGTGTTTTCAAGTATACTTTACATCCTTATACTTTTTGTTGCAGTGTGCCCACTGGTAAATGTGCCACCCGCTTGTCAAGAAAAGCCTCTGGAGGGCAGCTCTGCTCTACATCTACGGATTTATCGGTGGCTGTGTATTCGTTGTCATTGAACGAAAGCCTGAAAGCAATAGACAACTTTATTCAAGACTTGCCGGCCAATTGCGGCGTAATTTTACGACGCAATTTAACATTTCAATAAACGATAGTGATTTTAAATTGTTCATGGACCAGGCCTTTGATGTTGTAACTATTGGCAATAAACCCGACTGGAGTATATTTTATGGTCTAAGCTTTGCGATGACGTCACTGACAACTGTGGGTAAGCTTGGATGAATTTAGTGGAACCTCGATATAACGAAGTGCTAAGGGACGGGCAAAAATTTGTACGCTATAATGAGGTTCCGTTATATCGAGGTAATTTTCAGTATGTTTTACTGTTACTGGGGTAAAGAAAATCGTTCGTTATACCGAGGACTTCGTTATATAGAGGTTCGAGCCGGGGCATTTTCCATTTTTCCCGCCGCCACCGCCCCTTTTCCCAAGTCCCGTGCGTCTTATTTTCGCTTTGGTCGTTTTAATACGTCCCCACTATACTATCTGAGAGCCTAGCACGGGCTACTCTCTAACAAGATCCTCCAAGATCCACCAAGATCCAAAATGTTTGTTGATTGAGTATTTTTTTTCCATTAAGGATATGGCCATATAACACCAGAAACTCCTCTTGGGCAAATATTCACCGTTATATACTGCCTCGTTGGTCTGCCCATTTGCATGATATTCCTCAAAACGCTGGGGGAAATAATTGCAAAGGCTGTTAAAAGGCTCGTTCGTTTCTTTGAGACAATAATCCTTGGCAAAAAAAGGCCTCGCAGGCTCAAAACGAAAAGCTTTGTAGTAACATTTATGTTAATGATCTGCACTCTATGTCTTGGAGGAGTAACCCAGGTGTATCTGGAAGGCTGGACTTTTGTAGAAGGCATCTACGCATACTTTGCGACGCTTTCAACAATTGGCTACGGCGACTACATTCCTGGGTGGAAGACAGTAAGAATAGCTGATAAACAGTCAGGAATTGATAACAATATTGATTTATGGATAGTTGTATCCATCTTGGCGTTACCTGGTCTGGCAGGACTTTGTGTGGTCAGTGGAGTACTTAATGCACTCGTTGATGCTTTTGATGAATTAAAGATTCATTTTTATGTCCGCAAAGAATGTGTCAAATGTGAAACGAAAACATCCACGAAACACGAAGGACTGCATGAAGAGGGAAATTTGTTCATCGAAGACCCAAATAAAAGTATTGACCAAAAAATTGGCGTCACATTGGTTGAGGAAAGGATCAGATCAGCTACCTTATGAGAGACGTCGTGGGTTCATTATCCTAAAGAATATGTAACTTCCAGGACGCATTATCGAGATGCAGCGTAATATCTTAAAAGAATTCGGCCAACTTTTTCAGCCTGTCGGTAGAGAAGGCTCGATTGGCAGCTTGCTTTCATCCCTTAAAGACCTGACCTGGGAGAACGGCGGAGTGCCTGACTTGGGAGAACGGCGGAAATCACGCCTATCCGTCGAGTTATGGCTCTGTCAACTTTGTGAACACTAAAATACTTGCATGTATATTTTTATATCTTTCTTAGAAATATTACCTTTCTGCTAAATTATTTTAGAGGCTGCATGCTGTAGTGACAGGAAAGTTATTCTTAGTGATCAGTGGCAGTATTTAGTTAAGTCGTTTGCAGATCGTTTATAAAATAAGTACAACTCAGGAGACCATGGGCCCCTGTAAGGCTTCGATTCAGTATCAGGTTGGCCTGTCTATCCTGTATGTGTTCTATCCCTAATTTCATGCTTTTTAGTTTCTATACTACAAGTAAAGTTGCCTTTACTCTTTTATCGGCTATCATAGTCTTGGGCCATCCCCCAGGATTAACGAGACATTTATGGGAACCTTAAGCGTGCTACGAGCGCCAGATTTCAAAAGATGATTAACCGACTGAAGTCAAAACAAAGAGAAGAGGGTCCACTGTTCAGCAGTGTTTAGGGTGGCTCACAGTTTTGACGTTTTTTGCTTAAACTAACCACTAACTCAGGAAAAAAATAGTTTGACAGATATTTATCACTTTTCATAACCGCAGTGCGCAGGGGACTCGAGATTTTTTCTTTGTGCCACTAAACATTTTTTCAAGAAAAAGAGACTGGTTTGTTTTTTCGGAAATGTCTCTTAAATTACGCATGCCACTTTACAAGAAACAGATCTGTGAAAAAATATAAAGATGTGGCTTACATCATTAACGGTTAACGATAAATTAGAGGTGCTCTAATATAACGTGTACCAGCGTGTACATTTCCTCTCTTCATGTTGTCCACTTTGCGAAAAATGACAGCTAGGGTCGCTGACATGACGTGTTAATTGTATAATTGCATTTCGACCATTTTCAAGAAAGTTTCCAGACGCAATATTATTTAAAAAAATACTCATAAATTGTGAAAGTTATATTGTTCAGTTGGATGGGTAAATTTAATCACAAGCAAAGCCTTTTTTCAGGGTAAATCTATCGTCGAACCGAAAGGGTTTGACTGAGATTGAATTCAGTCTTATGTGAAATATAGGGTTGAGCGACCTAGACACAATGGATTGCAAAGTAGGATACAGGACATAATTATTTTCAGCAATATTCGGCGCTTCATCATTTAGGTGAGTGAAAGGCGTCTGAAAACAGGGGCTTTCCTGGGCATTTTCTAGTTTTAAGCCCGCTACCAGAATGTTGCTGATATACGCTTATTAATTTACACCGGTACAAGAGCCTGGTTTTAAAGGCGTAAAATAACTTTAGTTTGACCTTTAAGTTACAATCACTTTACGTAAATGTTGTAATTCCCTACTTCTATACAATGTCATGATGAACGCAAAGACAAAGCTGTGTTAGCATGGCATTCTAAAATGTAAGGCCGAGGCCAACGAAGAACTCCCGGACCACCTTGTCTGTGTCGATGCTCTTGTACGTCCCTGTACGTATGTAGGAGCGTGAGCCCAGAGGACCTCTCTGCTCTTATACAAGGGGTTACAGGGGGTTACAAGGGGTTAGAAGCCTACTTGTCTGTAGGAATTGTTTTGTAGTACGACTAAATGATCGTTGCGGAGTTGCTGTTGACACTGGCATCGTCAAAATAATTGTGATAACAAAATTTCCCCAAAAAATCTTTTAAGTCCGTGCTTAACTGGCTTACAGTCAGGTACGCCCCTGGAACACAATGAATTTCAACTTCCTTTAAGGTGAATGCCTTTTCAAAGCTTCTTATATGAAGTTATTCGAATAAAATATAAGACAATCAGCTTGGGATGTCTCCTCACATGACACCAGTAAACAAAACTCTCTCCTACTGCCGGTTATATAATAATGGCTAACGTAACAGAGCTTCACACCTGCTTTAAGGACTCCCGGGCGGATATGAAAGGAAGGATTAATATTGGGACTCTTCGTATTCGCCAGATCACTCAGTTATTAATATAATTTGTTTGCCTCACTGCGACGATCATTTCTTCATTTTCATCAAGTTTGACTGTACGTGGACAGGTTTGTAATCGTCAATTTTCTACTTTAAGGTCATCAAAGCAGCTTTTTTAATTTTAATTTTCTCCTTAAAAAGCTATATATTTTCTAGCAACCAGGAGCTAAGAGTACTCACTTACGTCATTTGTCACCGAGTTTGTTGCTGTCACGTTCACTACTGGTGAAACGGTTGGAGCAAAAAGGGTATGATTAAGAGTCATTCCGTGCTTTGGAAGATGACAGACAAGCTTGAGCAGTTATTGCACATACGCCCCCCATGGCTAGTTCATTTGGAACCGTTTGAAACTGCTAGCGATGATTGGTAAGTGCGAAATTTGGATAAATTATTAATCAACAACATCAACCCGTTGAGAACAAATGTTTGTGCTAGAGATGAATATTACGGACTCACTTTAATATATTCTGCGTCAAGATCGCGATAGCTTGAGATTTAATGGTAGTTGTTGGTATTGCTATTGCTTGAACAAACTCCAAGAAAGTGTTAAGCGGCAAGCTAGGGGAAATACTTAGATACGTAAACAGGACGGTTAGATTTTCCGCCTAAGTTCAGTTGTGCGTGAAGTTGACTGACATTCACAAAGAAGGGGCAGTTGGTGAGTTTAAATATCCAGATCATTTTCATTTTAGCGATCTCACTTACATGGCGTTATTATTTCGATATCCACATGGTACGTATTCAAGTGCTATATCCGTGCGCGACTTATTTATAGTACGATTATGAAAGTGAATCTGTAAAGCGTTCCATTTCTATCATCGCGTCATGTTCTGAAAATATAAATATCTTTAAAATAAAACACCTGAGCTCTTTCTTGCATGTCGCTTAGCATCTCACACTGTGACGTATTCACTCAATACAACGTCTAATATATATGATTCCGGATGTTGCAAAGCGATGAAGCAACGTGACAACTTCATCGATCTTATCATTCATATATATATTTTTAAACTTCTCATCATATTGATACTGCGGCAGTAGTTTGCCCGAACAATTAATTTTGTCGGCTTTAGTCAACCTGTCAGGGAGGTTAGATAAATAACCATAAGTATAGCGTAAGCTTACTTTCAACACTAACTTACTAGGTAAACCAACTTAGTAAACCTCTGCTGTCCATACCTGTGGAAGCAAGAATTAACTTTAAGATTCTTCTTATTACCTATAAAATCTTGTATGGACAATCCGCTGGATATATATCTGGAACCTCTGATTAAGACATATCATCTATCCAGAGCACTACGCCATAAAATCTAAAACACATGGAGGAAGTGCGTTCTCCACTGCAGCCCCTCAGTTATGGAGCACTATCCTGGAATATGTCAAAAATGCAGACAGAATTACCACGTTTAAAACAAAACTTAAAACATTTTTATTCAGGAAATATTTCCATTGATTTTATGCTTAACATTTTTATTTTTTTTAGTATTTTAAAGTTTACAACACTTCATGTATATGTCACACAGGCTAGACATTTTTCTTATTTTTCTCTTTTTCTTATCATAATGTAAAGCGCATTGGGGACAGAAATGCGCTTAATAAGCACATATATTATTATTGTTATTGTTATTATTATTATTATTATTATTATTATTATTATATTAGTTATTAATTGAAAAAAACCGCAGTGCAGTAATATCAACCGCAAGTATAAAACAGAGCAATTTACATTCTGAAGAAGTGATGATGATAATGATGATGACAGTGATTACAATGGTAAACTTAGGTGAACGGCGTGTAGATTTGTACGGCTGTGTGAAAACACCATACCCTTCTTCACGTTAGCTTTCATATATCGATTCTATGAGGTAAGCATTAATTCAGGATTCTATCTTAAGAAAAACGTGTAAGAGGTGTAAACTAAGTAACAGGTACATTCGATTCTTTTTTTACAAAATAGATAAAAAAAAATAGTAATTACAGTAAGTGAGTAAGTAAGTATAAGTAAGTAAGTAAGTAAATTACAGAGAAAATTGAAAAGGAATGAAAAATGTTTTTAATATAATTCTTTGATATTCGGATTTCAAATCAAGTGCTAACAGAAAACGATACTTTGATCAGTTTGAAACTGTTCAGCCTAACAGTTTTCAAAGTTGATCTCTGCTGTTTGCAACTTCAAAAATAATGATAATGATCAAGAGACATATTTCTTTGTCTCGAATCTCTGATTTTGTCATTTACATGTAATTTCTTTGCGTACATTAAGTTCCATAGCGATTGGGGGCGAGCAATTGGCAAAATTAAACAAAATGAACGGCCGTGACACAGCCCTTTTAAGGGTGCTAATTGCTTTACACTTGCGGAAGGACTCTAATCTGCCGAGTTTTGATTTGGTACAATAATGGGATAGTATTTTCCAGGGAAAAATGACTTACAGGTAAACTACTCAACCCTTGCCTCAATCCATTCTTTAAAACTTTGTCAGTGTTGTGCGTAAGCTTCTTTGAATCTTGATTACGGAATTTTTTATTCTTGGCACAGGACAATGACAGAACGATGAATTATGGACTTGTCAAGAAAGGTCTCTGGAGAGCAATTTTGCTTTATATCTACGCGTTTTTAGGAGGTTGCATATTCTATGTAATTGAAAGAAAACCTGAGAGCAGTAGAGAGATCTATACAAGACTAACCGAACAACTTCATCAAAATTTTACGGCTAAATTCAACATTTCAATGAATCAAAGTGATTTTGAGTTATTCATGAAAGAAGCATTTTTCGTCGTGAAAACAGGGAAAAGAATCGACTGGACTCTATTTTCTGGTTTGAGCTTCACAATGATGTCATTAACAACAATAGGTAGGTTTTCAAATTTTTAAACATTCACAATCACTGATTTTGTGGCAAAAAACTTTTGCTAGCATGATCATAACTACCGTAAGTGTTCTATTTTTCTCTGTGAAGATCTCGCGCTATGTAACTGAATTGTAAGGGAATCCAAGACATTGTTGGATTCTGGATCAAAGAGTGGACTCCTGTCCTTGTGCATGTAAGGTGGAACTTGTATTCTGGATTCCAATCGTAGGTGGGATTCCAGATTCCCTGAGCTTCATTCCGGATTCCACTTGCAAAAATTTCCCGGATTCCGGAATCCGAGTTCGCTTACATGGGGCTGGATTATAAAACATAGCTATTTAAAATTACAGCTGGATTTATGGGACTGTTGGAAAACCAGTTTATGGGACACGCGGAAAACCAGATGACAAGGAAAGGAGAGGAGGAGACTACAAAAAAGACGTGGTCTTACTTATAGTTTTGTAATGGTTATTAGGAATTGGCCCAGTAATGTTTTCAAAACTGCAGCCAGCAAAGGCCAATACGCAACTCGTGAGAGGCGTCGGATGATTTCCAGCCACAAAGTCAATATTTCTACACATGCCTGCTTGGATATTCTACGGCCTGTATTTGTTTCTTTTTTTCAGGTTTTGGCAACATCACGCCAGAAACTCCACTTGGACAAATAATCACCATCGTGTACTGTATCGTCGGTATTCCCATTTGCTTGGCCTTTCTAAAGACACTGGGTGAAACTATTGCCAAGGTTGTTGAAAAATTCGTGCTACTTGTGGAGAGACAGTTCTTTGGTAGGAGAAGACCTGAAAAGCTCAAGACAAAAAGCCTCTGCTTAACGTTTATCCTGATGGTATTTACTCTTTGCCTCGGCGGATTGACCCAAATATATATGGAAGATTGGAGCTTTGTGGAAGGTATCTATGCGTTTTTTGCGACACTTTCGACGATTGGCTATGGTGACTATATTCCTGGGTGGAGTACTCTGACAAAAGCTACTGCTGCTGAAAATAAGCGTGTTCATCTTTGGCTGATTCTTTCCGCTTTGGCGTTGCCAGGTATGGCAGGACTTTGTGTGGTCAGCGCGGTAATAAATTCTCTCGTGGATGCTCTTGATGAGCTAAAGATTCAGATTCATGTTCAAAGTAAGTGTCTCAGATGCGAAAGGAAAGCCTCACGACACAACGAAACTGTGACTTTAGAAAAGTCGAACGAGGATGTAAATCTGGAAAATAACTTCTTCCGAGTGCCAGTTAAGGAGAAGTTGAGATCAGCATCCATATGAGTTTCGAAGGATATGCTATTTTTGGATCATTTTTGTTTGCTAGGTTAGTTGGTTCAGAGGCTTTGGCGCGATAGGCTTGGGCTCCATTCACGGTCGGACCAACACTCAGGGTCTTGAAATAACGTGGCAGCTTAAATATGAATATCAGGGGCATCCAACGAAAGTTTCTCCAAAATGCATTGAAAACACGTTTTAGGCTATCCAAAGTACTTTTAGATCACTAGAAATGTTTTATAAGTCTCGCTAAAAAATTTATATCTGTTCGGTCAGTCAAGGGCAAGTCTTTTCGAAATTACAAAGGCTTCAGTATTATTTTCCCCAAAATTTTAGCTGCAATTTAAAGCTTTACGAAAGTTTTTGCCTCACCGAACAGACATTTCACAGAAAACAGTCGTTGGGTGCCCCTGGTATATGCTAAATTTTCCCTGAAACCTGCCAACAGCTAATAGTTAAGGATTTTCTTCGGCCCCTTTTCTTTCACGGGCTGAATAAACTCACGTGATAATGTTAAAGAATCTTCATATATACTTTATTTTTTGACATCAAGTGACGGTAAATTACTCTTACTCAGCACCCTGCAATATGAACCTTAGTTCTTGCGGGCATGACCCGCCAAACCCCAAAACAAATTTAAATGAAGATATGATTGTCGCAGTGGTAATTACAATTTAAGCAATTGCAAATACCCCCCCCCCCCCTTTTATGGTTGTTTTATTTTGTTTGTTTTTTTTTTTTTTTATTTTTTTATAAAAAATTTGTAATATAGATATAATTAAAATTAAAAAAATTAAAAAAAAAACCGAATTATTTGTGGTTTTTAAAGGGATTAAAAAAAAAAAAAAGAAGAGATTTTTTTTTTTTTTGTTGGGGGGGTTGGGGTACGAGGGGTTTTTTTTTTTTTTTTTTTTTTTTTGGGGGGGGGGGGGTATTTGCAATTGCTTAAATTGCAATTACCACTGCGACGATCATGTATTCATTAAAATTTGTATTTCCGCAGTTCAAATCATATTCATACTCTGTTAAAACAAAAGCAAACACAAAGAATCAGGCCACGGTTTGAATCACGGCAAGTCTAAATGTTTTCATCATGAAAAGCCGAAAAGGAAAACGAAGAAATCTTGCTTTATAGAAGATGCATGCTGAGATCCCGGACAAAAATTACAGGGAAAAACTTTCCGTAATAGTCAGCTGTTCCTAATAGAGCCTTTTTCTCTATCACGTCAAGTGTGATGGTAACGTTAAGCTTTCATGTGTATTTCTCAAACATATCGGATACTGCTCCCAATGCTGCGATTACCTTTGGCACTACCATAACTTTCTTCAGCTTTCACAGCTTTCCTAAGTTTTTCCGAAGAATTTGGGACTTCTCTTTTTTCTCTAGTTTTTTGTTTTGTCTTTTACTTGTCCATCTCCAGTGTTAACGATGTCGATGATCTTGGCCTCCCTTGCCTGCTTATCAAGGAAGATGACGTCCGGCCTTCTACCTTCAACAACCCTATCACACTGTCCATTAGTGAAATCCCGCAGTACTCTGAAACCCTCACTTTCTACCACTCGCTCTGGGGTATGTTTGTAGCAATTATTTGCCCTTTCCAGTTCGACCTTCCCACGTAGTTGCAAGTGCACATACCGTGCCACATATATCATTGCCATGTCGCTTGCTTGCTGTATTCACTACTTAGGTTACTTTCTCCTTTCCTTCCGCACATTCTACAGATAGGTGATTTTAAGTTTTTTTCACGGTTTGGATCTTGATACAGTTAGTTATTAAAGCTTGTTCTTGTGCACTGCACATCAGTACTTCTGTACGTCCCTCGAGGTTCCCTTCCGCAACCACTGCCATGTTTTCTCCCATTCCACTCTCGTAATGTCTCTAACATATTCCCTCATGCATTTGTTTTTCTTACCATTTGTTTTCATCATTTTCTCTGTCTTCATTCTTCTAATATGCCTCCTTGGATCCTTTGCCGCATAACCTTTACTGTTTCTCTACCACCTACTTTCCTAATCAAAACCTCGTCGGAATTCCTTACATACACCAACTTCAATTGTTTACTTCTCCACGGAAACAAGCTTTGCGGCTAATGAATCCTCCGCCCCCATTCTTCCTTGATAGATAATATTCTTGCAATATCACTCCTGAGATGCAGCTCCTTATTCATCGTCATTACTGTCTTCGTCTTCCTGTCCATCTTTTGTAGTTCACTCTGATCACTCCTCCACCATTTCTTAATGAGCCTCAGCCTTATCATTATTGTTATTCTGCTTATTATTATTTAACAACTAATGAATGAGGCTGAGTATCTTATGAAGAATTATGGAGATCGAAGAGGGTGTTATCCGTCGAGGCCGTAGGGCGAGTCGGATAACACCCTCCGAGATCTCCATAATTCTTCATATGATACGAAAGCCGAATTCAATAATTGTTTTATTATTCATTCAAAATAATTCCTGGTTTAAAAATATAGGTAAAACATGTTTACCTCCATCGATCCATCGATGTTTAGTTTATCTTCGATAGTACGCGTTTAGGGTTGTTCAGCTCCGCAAATATTCTCCAAATAGCAGATGTCGCCCTTCGAGTTGTCTTCTTGCTGTTCTTGCCATGTTTTTAGCTATTATTTCCCCTAGTTCTTACTCTTGAAACGAATGAAATGTCCGCCATTTTTGTTTCCACTACAAAAACAACTCACCCTCGTCCCCAGGTCTTCTCGGTTAACAGTGCATTAACCTGCAAAAACGCTGCAATTTTGACGTCATTTCCTTGCTAAACTCAAAATTCTTCCAAATTTGGTCATCAGTTACTGGTTATGGCAAATTATGCGTATGCTTTTAGCCAATCAGAATTGGGGAAACAATTTGAATGAATAATAATGTTATTTATTACTTTTTTTTAAACTATTGCTCGACATTATTCTAGACTTTTACGAGCTAATCGCTATAAAATTTGTTGTATCTAACACCCAAGAACAATAGCCACCTCTAATCAGGCCCCTCGGGAAAAGCAGTGCGTTTATTTGTATCTTTATTTTTCAGTTAAGTTTAAGTTCCACAATTATTTAGTCAATTTTAAGTTTCTCCTAGTGGAGTACACATCGTGCAGTTTTTTCCTGCGTCGGCAGAGTTTTCTTTCTTCATGGTTTACACCGCTACACAATGTAAGTTTCAGTCCGTGTTTTAGTTTCATTTTCGGTTTATTTTGTCGCTTTTTAGCGGTTTTACATTTTGTAAGTTTATTTTCTATTCTAATTTCAGTTTAAACCAACCAACGATCTATAAAGCCATTAATATTAATTTCATCGATGTCCATTTTCGTTGTTGCGTTTGAATGCTGTCACATACCGTAAAGAAATAAAAGTCGCCTTTGGCAGTTACAATAATATATAGATTTAGCCACGGCTAAAAGCGAAGCTCCCATTAATAAATTTATAATTTAAATCGAACAATAAACTTGTAATCCACCAATCAGTTAACCGGAGGGCACATTCATGTGACTTTTGAGGGAAAGGCTAAGTTATTTTAGAGTGAAACATCTTACATCGAGTTGATAGCCTTATATGTACACTCAGAAAATAGCAAACATCTTCGATCACATTCAAGAGCCATAATGGCTCTTGATCACAGTAGATTAGCCCTCGAAAACAAATTCTTGGAAAACAAATCAGGCCGAATTTTATTTGCGTTCGACAGGTTTACTTTACAAATTCTTGCCAACAAATCTGGGGGTGTGTAAACCAACCTTTTATACTTTTTATACATCACATCTGAGGTGAAACAGTACTATCTATCATACAGACCTCGCACAGAATGCGGTATTTCACAATTTTTCAAGACAAATTACACTTAGTCAATATTCAGGACGATCAATCGTGCGTTTTAGCGAAACCGTTCAAAAAGTGTCCAAAATCACCCATACGGCCAGCCGGTTCTCATTTCTAGTGCGAGCTGTCAGTGTGTTCGAGTGTTTGAATGGACTTTAATAGAGTTACGCTTCAACATAAGAACGAATTTATTATTATTATTTTATGTTATTTAATGGTTTCAGTCATAACGATGTGTAATCTTATAAAGCGTTTGATACGCGCAACACTTTCGAGTACTCCTGGAAGCTATGTTCATGAAAAATGAAAACAAACGGCATGTACAAGTGATTAAAATTGCAAGAGAGACTAGTAACAATCAATATATCAAACATGAGATGCAGTGTTTCATCACCAGATGAAACACCGAGAAGAGAGTTGAAAATACGACGCGCAGCGGAGTATTTTTGACGAACTTCGAGGTGTTTCATCTGGTGATGAAACACTGTGTCGAATGTTTGATATTTCTTCTCAAACAAAATCATTTTTGAAGGAGAAATTAAGGATGCAAATACTAAGCAGTGTTTCATCCGATTTCCAAACACTCATTAAACATTAATTTCCTTTGTTTTTTCTTAATGAATTATTAATGAGTTTGAGAAGCTTATATCAAACCTGATACTAGGTCGGATCATTGACCCAAATCTTACAGACGTGCATAAACTTGCCGCATAAACTGTGCTCGACTTCATGAAATTAGATATAACAAAAACAAACATGAAATACAATAATTACTCAGGCTTACCATTCGAAATTCAGTTCCTGAAAGCTATCAAGGAAGGCCACAGTTGCTTGAGACTTTGAAATCCTCTTACGCATTAAGCAAAGTGAAAAACGAAAACGATGCCATCCGTAATCGGATTACCGAATTTTGACTAGCGACGCATTTATCAACCAAAAACCTAATAAACAAACCAGCCATGAATAACAGAAGACTTGTGATAGCAGCTGTATTTCATTTTGTACATCCAGTGGAAAAAGACGGTTAAAACATCACAAGTTGACACAAAATAAAATACTGCATAAATTGACCAATCAGAGCATAAAAATTGGACGTAGAGCGTGACTAACTCGTGACCATGGGTAACAAAAGGTCTTCCCCGCCTGTATTTTTAAAAAACTGGCTGAATTTTTACGTCCGAGGTCAGTTTGAAATCAAAATCTTAATACGGTGAGGGGCCATAGCGACATAAACACAACATTTCATATGAATCATTGGAAAAAATAAACTTGAGCCTGCGATCATTTGAAACTTGTAATTTGTCAGCGGATAACTTCAAAAAATACTCGACCTCAATGGGTCGACACTTAAGCCCGCGGTACTCCCAGGTGATACTGGTCGGCGGATACCCTGTTTTGACAGCTGTCAATTGATCACAACGTTGATGTGCAATATCAGGTTGCAGGTTAGAAAAAAAACTAGCTAGAAAGTGTGAGAGTAAACATTGGTTTCCCTGTGGTGGGGACGGATGGTCGCTCGCTCGCTCGGTGTACGGTCACTTGATTACCAAATTTTCTGGGATGGGTAGATTTCCTTAGCTATGGGGCTCCGCCCACGCACGGCGCTTCGCGACGCGGGTGGAGCTCCGTTATCAATAATTTGTTTGTTATTTTATTTTAAATTACAGACTGACATGGGGTTCGGGATGCAACTGCTTTCTTTTAGATGGCTAAAACGACGTAAGCTTTAATCTTCATCGAGTGCCATGATGTAAGCAGTTTGTATAGCCTCCAGCAGTTCTCTCTTGTAAACAGCACCTGCAAAGTTGCGCTGAATAAGGTAAGGTGTCGATTAGCATAGTTATAAGGGACATTATGCCCAAAGTTAATCCATCGGAGCGAGACTATCCATTGTGTTGCAGGTTTGAGAAAATTGAACATATACATTATTCATCCCATAAACAAGAACAACACATAATTCGAAGTTGAAGGTGGCATCATTGGCGGAAACATTAAAAGGCGACTGCCGAAAGTTTTCAAGCGCTGAAATGTGCACCAGAGCAAAGTGTAACATCAGGAAAGAGACAAAAGTACTTCTCCTTCGGCTCTTTTTATCGATATTCTACATGCACGGAGGGGGGCTTCTTTTCATGGCGATAGAACAGGAACCTGCAAAAAAGGAGAGCGATAATATCCTTAGAAAGGTTGAAATTTTGAAGAAAAATGTTACAACTAAATTCAACATGACCGAAGGACAGTTTGTAGAACTTGCCACGATGTTGCAGCTGTTGAATTGTTCCAGGATACCACAGTGGAATTATGACGAAGCAGTAAGCTTTACAATGCAACTTCTTACTACGATCGGTAAGCATATGAATTGAGAAACGATGAATCAACTTTGTGTTCTTTGTCTCTGCAGGGATGCCTTAATTAAGGTGTTTCTATACAGTTTTTCAGAGGCCATACCGATATTTTTCAATCGCCTTAAAAGTGGTTTCTTTCCTTGTCCGATCGCTATAAAATTTTCACCAGTAATTGGCTATGGATTGAAATTTTTGAAAATGCAGTTTTAAGTAAAATCGATATTACTATGACAACAATAAACAAAAAACTTTTAAATTGATCAAAGCCGAATTTTGTGTGATCTAGACCTGCTACTGAAAATCCAACACTAGGAACTTAAAGTTTGATGTTTAGCAAACAATCTCCGTAAGAAGTAAAAAATTCTGTATGTTTGAATTCGACTAAAACGTCAAACCTTAAATTTTCAATAGTCGTGATAAATTATTTAATAAAAACGTTAGAAATGACTCAAACTATTCTTAAGTAGCGTCAGAATGCTGCGTAATACCATATTTTGATGCTAGGAAATTTTGGTGTACTTTCGTTCTTCCGATCGTGAAAACTACAACATTCACTGTTTTGACATTATGCTAATTTTTCCAAAATAATGCGCAGTATACATACCTCCATGACTAGTACATTTTAGTGTGAATTTATGGCATCTTTTGAATGTAAAACATTGACAATATTCACACTGACATGTACTAGTCATGGATATATGTATTGTCCGCATTTATTCGGAAATATTAGCATAACGTCAAAACAGTGAGTGTTATTACTCAGATTTTTGACCGGTTCGTAGGAAAGGTTTGTCTTGAAATTTTATGGTGTTGCAGTGAATCAATCTTAATGAAAGTTTCAGACACTTTTATATACATTGTCAAGATTATGTGAAGAGATTTAAAAAAAAAATTCGTTCGAGTCGTTTCGGAGATATACAAGAAAGCACTAAAAGTCCAAATTCTGAATGAAGTTGCACTTATACAGGTGGTGAGAAAACAGGTTAGTTTTCAAGATCGCAAGAACGAAAGTACACCAAAACCTCTTAGCATCAAAACATGTCAAAACATGATATTATGCAGCATTCTAACGCTACTTAAGAATAATATGAGTCAATTATAACGTTTTTATTAAATAATCTATCACGGCTATTGAAAATTTAAGGTTTGAAATATATTTTTGTTTTAGTCGAATTTAAACATACAGAATTTTTTACTTCTTACGGAGATTGCTTGCTAAACACCAAACTTTAAGTTCCCATGTTGGAGTCTCAGTAGCAGGTCTAGATCACACAAAATGCGGCTTTTATAAATTTCAAAGTTTTTTGTTTAATGTTGTCATAGTAATATCGATTTTACTTAAAATTCAATCCATAGCCAATTACTGATGAAAATTTTATGGCGAAGGTGAAAACCACTTTTAAGGCGATTGAAAAATATCGGTATGGCCTATGAAAAACTGTATCAAAACATCTTCAGCGGTGTTACGTTTTTGAATTCAGAAACTTTACAGGTGTTGTTTCACCAACAAAGCCTCTTGTTCAAAGCAAAATACAAAGGTGCCACTATTCAGCGATATAAAACTGTTCTAGTAAGGCCTTAAACTGCTGTTTAAAAAAGTAAAATCCAAAATCCAAGCTTTCGCCGATCACCAGCATGATAAGGGAAAAGAGTTTTCTACGTTTAGAGTGCTAACCCCCTTTCTTTTCAAGGTCTCAATACGTTGTTTGTTCTCCGAAATTGCCCTTTTCACCAAGTGATTAACTAAATCCTGGAAAAAAGTATTGGAAAGGAGAGGATAGGGGAGGCAGAACTCCAAGCAGTTTTCGAAAAGGTTGCACTGTTTTATGAGGGCACCCAGAAATCGCAGAAAATTATGATTACTGCACTACTGCCGACAGGACTCCTTTCACGTCATCCTAAAGTAGCACGAGTTTACGACAGTTGTGAAATCTGTATTAATTTTGTCCTATAGAATCGTCGTTATCAGTCTGGGAAGTTTAGGAGGGTCTTGCCATAATAATGAGGATTTGGCCTAAAATAGCTAAAGACATTACAAATGTACTGACGCTGAAAACGTCTTTTTCGTGACATATTTCAATTTTACTCATATCCTTGTCTTATGTTTATTCCCAGGGTACGGAAATATTTCGCCGCGTACCTTTACAGGGCAAATGGTCACCATTGGGTATGCCCTATTTGGAATACCCCTGATTCTTCTTACTCTTAAATCATGTGGTTCAGGTTACAATAGCCTTCTTAAATGCCTCCTGACAAAGTTTGAAAAATGTATCCGAAAAAATACCGAGATATCACATTTGGAATTGAAACTCTTGTTCCTCAACTTCTTCGCCTTAGTCACTGTAATCTTCATAGCAGCCACCGTATCAATATACAAGGATGGGTGGAACATTTGGCAAGGAATATACGTTTGGTTTATTACGTTTACAACAGTGGGCTTTGGAGATTTCATTCCAAATCACATGACTACGTCTGATCAGCCAAACGGTCTTCTTATAGCTGGATTGTGTTTCATGTCGGCGGTTGTTGATGCTCTGGTGGCGTGGGTTGAAAGACTTAATCGTTGCCAGCAAAATTGTTGTCTCTCACAGAATAACATTACTATCGAACGTGATGTCGATACGTCAAGAAACTCGATCAGTAATTTGGGTTTTGAAATGCCTAACAGACAGCAAGAAGATAATGCAGTAAGAAGTCAAGAAACAATATTTTAGAGTGCCAAAAGACTTGGCCAGTGCAGTTTACAAACCTACGGCTAGCCTGATAATAATAATAATAATAATAATAATAATAATAATAATAATAATAATAATAAT